CTCCAGAGCGCCCTTGCCCCTCCCCTGAGGAAGCCAAGCCAGCTTTGGCCTGCAGGGAAACAGGCGCCCTCTTGTGGCGCCCTGGGACTTTTTTTTGTCCAGCTGGCCCAAGGCTACCCAGGCTGGCTCTTCTCCTCCCAGTGGGGGTGGGATTCGAACTCCCAACCTCTGGCTCTGCAGCTCCAGAGACCTTAAAGCATTGAATTATTTACCCCGATAATAATAGTAGTAGTAGTAGTAGTAGTAGTAGTAATAATTTGTTGTTGTTGTTGTTGTTGTTGTTGTTGTTGTTGTTGTTATTATTCTGACTTATGGTGATCTTTTTCAGGGGTTTCCAGGCAGTGTCTTACTCTTCCCTTCCTCTAGGGGGAGCCCTGGGACTTTTTGTGCAGCTGGCCCAAGGCTACCCAGGCTGGCTTTCCTTCTCCCGGGAGGCCCCGTGGGGGGATTCGAACTCCCAACCAGATACCTAAAACACGGAGCTGTCCAGCCAGCTCGCTATTCGCATACAGTATCATACTCAGTTGTCCATTGCAGCCAAAGGCACTCCAAATATCCAGATCCCCCAGATGTCCATAATGCTGTGGGGTCTGGATATTTGGAGTGCTTCTCCCTGTAAAAAAAACCAGCCCCATCACCAAAAATTAGTTTATTTGGAAAACTTTTTCTGCTATAGTTCACCAACTGGGGAATGCTCTCCCCCCTTGGAGGCACCAATATTGGCATCATTTCGGCGCCAAATCAAGATGGCGAGAGCCTTTTGGGGGTCGAGGAGCGTGGCCTGCGCAGGTTTTAGTGCAATGTTTTTTAACATCTTGAGTGTTTGAAGTTTGTGTTATCTTGATTTTAAATATCATATATTTTTAAATGATTTTATGCAGCCTTGTAACCCACCCTGAGATCCTATAATATTAGATCAGGCTATAAATGTCTACATAAATAAACAAAGCTACAGATGAAAACCTTTCTACTTCCTTGGAGCCTCATAGAAAAAGCTGACCCATCCCAGTCAAACTTCATAGGTTTTGTTTCCAAGTAAAAAAACCTGAATAAAACAGTAAGAGAGCAAGCTCTCAACAGGAATGTGTAATTTGTCAAACTTGAATAAAATAATAAAAGAGTAAGCTCTCAACAGGAATGTGTAATTTGTCATCCTGAACATGACAGGATGGGTTTTTTTTCTGTCGAAAGCTTGCTCTTTTATTGTTTTATTGAAGTTTTTCACTTGGAAGCGAAACCTGTAAAGTTTTTTGAACCAATGCCGTCTGTTTTGACCGGGATTGGTCAGCTTTTTGAAAACTACAAAAGTTTAAACCAGCTCACTGACTAAAGCCGTAAATGTTTGAATTAAAAAAAAAGCAAAGCTGTAAATGTTTAAAGCTATAAATATTTATGTAAATAAGTTATCTACCACGTATCCAAGTTCATATTTGCCTAATGCAACCACCGAACAAGGGTTGAAGGTAGGAGTCGTAGCTCAGAAGGCAGCAGGAGAGCACTAGGCTGGCAACCGGCCTCAGATTTAAGCCTTTGAAACAATCCTGGGATTATATACAACTATTTCTGGTGCCCTGCTCAAGGACGACCCCGTTAGACGATGAAATCGCTTACCACGTATCCAAGTTCATATTTGCCTAATGCAACCACCGAACAAGGGTTGAAGGTAGGAGTCGTAGCTCAGAAGGCAGCAGGAGAGCACTAGGCTGGCAACCGGCCTCAGATTTAAGCCTTTGAAACAATCCTGGGATTATATACAACTATTTCTGGTGCCCTGCTCAAGGACGACCCCGTTAGACGATGAAATCGCTTTACGATGACTCGCTCATCGTCTAACGACCCTGTTAGACGATGTAATCGCTTTACGATGACTTTTCAATGCATTCCAATGGTTTTTTTTTCGCTTGACGACGGTTTCGCTTTAACAGCAATTTTCCTGGAACCAATTATCATTGTCAAGCGGGGCACCACTGTATTAGTATCAAGTTGCAAAAAAGGCTTTTCTTGATATATGCATGCATGAATCAACGGCTCCCTGCATTTCCTCCTTGTTGCAAGTCCATTTTTGCAGCGCCGCATGCAGGGAAGAAATCTTCCCAGTACCATGGAAAACTGCTTCCACCGTGGTGGATAAACAGGTGTAGTTGTTCTGAACTTCTGAACGCCCTTCCCGTTTGCTTCCTAGAGCCGTAAGAAGCAGCGTGAAGACGTGGACGTGGTGGGAGCCAGCGACGGCGATGCCGCCCTCGGGCTGAGCGCAGACCCCAAGGCCCAGGAGCAGATGATACACGACAGGATCGGCTACAAACCTCAGCCCAAACCAAACAATCGGTCGGCTCAGTTTGGGAACTTTGAGTTCTAGGAACGGAGCGTTAGCACCGGTGCTTATCGCGGTGAGCGTGGGGCTACGAAGGGATCGTTCTGGATTGATAAAGAGCTAGTTTGGAAACGTGAACGGGCATGCCTTCTCATGGCGTTAAAAGAATTCAGTCTTCTAGCAACCTGAGACCCAACTCTTCCCGAAAGAGACAATGGGTGTTTCCTTTAAAAGATTCCTTTTTGCAAACCCCTTAGATGGCATGTCTCAAATAAATATGTACGTGTGTGTTTTAAAATTCTTTTCAGGTCGAATTTTATAAAGGCGAGTATTTCTGGCATAGATTGGTTTCAAATCTTGATGGTGGAATGGGGAAGTTTTGTTTTAAACCCTAAGGTGTAGGGCCCAGCATTACAAAGAATCCACTGACTTTTCTGATTTGAAATACGTTGGGGAGCCAGGATAGGACCTTTCCCGAGTTTGCTCCCATTTCTCACCTCTCAAGTTCTGAGCCATGAAGGGGCAGCAGGTCCAGCTGACAAAAGTCGTATATTAACATAGTAAATACAGGCTAGTATCGGTAAGAACCTCCTGCCTGTATGAACATCTGAAAAATCTTGGATGGTTGGCTCTTTTTAAAAAATGTCAGCATGCAACCTTTATGTTTTATCTTGTATCCTAGTCAAACAGCCTGATTTAACACGGGGGGGCTGTTTTCCATCAATCCACCATTTCTGTTAAGACACATTCTGCTTTATTATTAGTGACATACAGACAGATCATCAGCATGACAAGGACTATGGATTTAATCTTATCTATATACATCCAGTATGGCGTTGTGCTAGAAAAGATAACACACCCTCGAAACAGGTTAAAGGCACCGTTATTTCTCGGACACATTAGGGTACTTGTTGCACCAGCAGCATAATCCTGTAGGATCCTGAAGGGAGCGAAGACACATCAGTTGGGAATGGAATTATATCCCTTTTTACAATCACACACAATAGCACCGATACATGATGGTACATTAGCAGAGAACAGATTCCCACCCACCCCACCCGCCTCAATCCTCTCTGTTGAATGAAATTTTAAGTCTAAATTGGAGAGGAATGCTGGTTAGCTTTCTAATCATCGCAGAACTGCGGTGCTGGAAGGGACCCTCTGGATCGTCAAGTCCAGCCCCTCTTAAAGTTGCCCGGGGGGGGATTCAAACGCCCAGCCTTTGGCTCTCCAGCCAGAGGCTTCAACCACCGAGCTACTCAGCAGCTGTCTAATCTTAAGAAGTGCAGAGCTTCAAGGAACCCCATGGATGATTTTTGAGTCCTGCCCCTGCTCTATACGTCCATAAACGGTTTGGCTTCTTGAGTTCCTTGCTAACGCTTCTGGTCTGGTTTCTCCCTCCTCTTGAATCCCATTTCAAATTTCTTCAAAAGGAAGCTACATTGAAAGAAAACAGCCCAAACCCCTAGATTTCTAGCCAAGGTGTGGCGGAGCTCAGCTGAAACCTGGGGATGGAGGCTGAACTCCGGTCCAAGAGCATTTGCTGTTCACGGTGCTAAGGCGCACTGTGGAGGCTCCTCGTAAGGCGCAGTGTACACATATACACAGCGTTCAAAATTATGTGCGCCAAATCATGTAGGAGTTAACCTAGGCGCTGGGAACCGACCACCCACCAGGTGTTGATGATATATAAAAACACTTCCGTTTTGATAGACAAAGCAACTTTTCTGGATAACCTCGGGCCAATGATGTAGAGAATCCTCTTTCTGGGGGGGGAACAAACCCCATCTCAGAAGGAGCCCACATGAGATGCTTAGAGCCAGGTAGAACACACCTGGGAGAGCTGCGACAAGGATCGGCCACGTGGGCTCTCCAGATGTTTCTGGACTGCAGCTCCGTGTGGTTTTTCCACTGGTGGGGGTCCCTATTTCTCCCTCCTATAATAGTACAGGCTTCTTTTTGGGGTGGGGGCACTCCACGTTTCTGCAGCCCCACTGCTGCTTCAGGCTGCCAAGGTGGAAGGTCTACCTGTGAGCAAGCAGGTCAAGCCATTCAACATCTTTGCTTGCCTTCCGAGACCATCGGCTGGGATGTTTACTCAAACCGAATTCCTGATGTGGGCTTAACAACATAGGTAAAGGTTCCCCTTGACATTTAGTCCAGATGTGTCTGACTCTAGGGCACGGTGCTCATCCCCGTTTCCAAGCCATAGAGCCAGCGTTTTGTCCGAAGACAGTTTCCGTGGTCATGTGGCCAGCGCGACTAGACACGGAACGCTGTTACCTTCCCACCGAGGTGGTCCCTATTTATCTACTTGCATTTTTACATGCTTTCGAACGGCTAGGTTGGCAGGAGCTGGGACGAGCGACGGGAGCTCCCTCCGTCGCGTGGATTTGATCTTACGACGGCTGGTCTTCCGACCTTGCAGCCCAGAGGCTTCTGCGGTTTAACCCACAGCGCCACTACGGCTGTTTTTTCAACAACATACTTGCAGGGGAAAAAAGGAAGGAGAAAGAAAGAGAAGGAAAGCAGGAAGGAGACAGATTACCGGTGTAGACACAACCTTAGGGTGTCCAACCCAAGCCTCATTTGGGGTAGTTCTGGTCATGTAAATAATAATTTATTTAAGGATATGTGACCCTTTTCCTGCCTTCAAGTCAAAAGGAAGCCAGAGCTTGTTCCATTGGTTTATTTAAAAGAATTTATAACGGTTGCTTTCTGTTTTCCCTAAATGTTGATTTGGGTTCGTTTATGCACATCTCACACCGCAAATCGGCAAGTCACAGTGGGCCACTGGAGCTGCGTGCCATCATCACGTTCCCTAGAGCCACACGACCACTGTGGAAAAGCCGGTGCCAAGCGTCCGCTGGGCCTCGAGGTGCCAGCCTGTCCTGGGGGGGGGGGCTAGAACCAGACCAGGTTGGGGCACCAAGTTGACTTCAAGACTTGGATGAAACAGGGGACACCTGGGTAAGAAGAACCACTCTTTTTACCCGGCAGAAGTACTCGTGCTACGAGGGCTTTGTAGCTCGGTTTGTCTTCTCCTGCTGATTCGATATTTGAGATGGGCACGAACTGGTTCGTCCCGGTTCGCCAAGGGTCCTGCTGTTCCGCTCCCCGCCTCCTCGGGCTCCAGCAGCCGGGCCCAGCTGACTTGCTTTCCCCACCTCCTCGGCCGATCTCCCAGTCGTGAGCAAGAGCTTCTCAGCCCTGCCCTTTTTCTCTTGAGTGGCAGATCAGCCGAGAGACGCCTGAGCAACTGCCGGGACTGGCAGATCGGTGGAGGAAAATGGGCAGGGGAGCAGCAGCACGAACCGGTTTGTGCCCACCTCTAGTCGATATCCTCCTCCTAGAACTGCTCCCACCTTATCCCAGCACGGGCCGCTTGAAAACATGTAACATTAAAAAAAACATGGAATTGCCTGCGCCAGCAGGCCAGCTAGTTTTGATCATGGCACAGTCTTTTTTTCCTTCTAAAGATCAAACTGCTAATGGTATCTAATAGATAAGCTGATCATCCTAAGAAAGCTGCCCCAGCCGGCGACGAGCTTTCCCCGCCACTCGGGAGCAGCCTCCTCCGCCCCCCAGTGCCTTAGGGAAGAGGGGACTATGTAGGGGAGAAGAGGGAGGGAAAGGCAGAGACCCAGGGGGAGGAGGGTGCCCCCATAGGTTTTCTTGGCTTGTTTCGGGGGAAGCCCGGTCCTTTCCGGAGGATGCGAGGAAAAGGATTCGGACACCCCCCCCTTGGCCCGTCGTTAATGGCAATGCTCCGTGATGTCCACGACCACCGCCTTCTTCCAGCTGAAGAAGAAGTAGCCGGTGCCGGCGCCAGCCGCCACAGCGATGCAGAGGTAGCCGTTGTACGTCATGAAGATGAGCATGAGGAAGTAGCTGACCACCACCTGGATGACGTGGAGGGCCGTCTGGAAGAGGTGAGGGAAGCTCAGCATCTGTTGCCTGACGGATCCGGAGGAAAAGAAAAAGAGGAGTATCAGGAGGGTGTGTGTGTGTGTGTGTAACAAAAATATCTTGCCTGCAGGACAGACACCCCCTCGGATCTGGGGACTATCGGTCAGGATTGAAGGCATTCAAAGTTCTGGTTATTAAGAGGGAAGCATGCTGCATTTATACCTCTCTATAACACTTAAAGCACTCTGGGCGGCTTACAATTTAATCATGCTGGCCACCCAAGCAATCTCGGTATTCAATTTACCGATCTCAGAAGGATGGAAGGCATGCTGGCTACCCATTGGCCCCCTCCCCAAGCAAGCTGGGTATTCAATTTACCGATCTCGGAAGGATGGAAGGCTGAATGAACCTTGAGCTGGCCACCTGGGATTGAATCCAGATTGTGAGTAGAGTCTGAAGAGCAATACTGCAGTTTAACCTCTGCTCAATATTACCTATTAAGCCCCACACTGTTTGGGTCTCTGCTGTTTGAAGGGTCCTGGGATTGAACCCAGATTGTGAGGAGAGGCAGAAGAGCAATACTGCAGTTTAACCTCTGCACCCGAAGGCTCAATATTACCTACAGTATAAAGCCCTACACTGTTTGGGTCTCTGCTGTTTGAAGGGTCATAGGACCCCCTACGAGCCTTCTCGGCTTTTAAGATCTTCTTTTATATAGGATTTTAAAACTCTTTTATGGATTTTGTTGTTGTTGTGAGCTGCCTTGGGTCCCCTATCGGGAGAAAGGCAGCGTAAAAATAATATAAAATGAAAATAAATAGGATGGGATGGGCGACTATCAGACGCTCGTGTCCCTCCACTAGAGAAAGCAGAGGGAGGGATCCTAGTTGACAGGAAGCCTTCCCTTAATGGTAGAGAAGGTCCTTTGCACCCAGAAGGTGCCGGGTTCGATTCCCAGCATCCCTGCCTTTTCAGGACTGACTCACCCAACCGTTTTGTGCGTCTCCATCAAAACCGTGCCGTTTGGTCCCGGGACAGGCATGGAGTTGTAGCGTATGCTGACCTGCGACTTCCGGAGAAGGCTCTCGCGGGCGATCTTCAAGCCCTCGTAGAACATGGCCAGGAAGAAGATGGCCACAAAGGCACCGGCCATTTCTGATGGACAAGAGGAGAGAGAGAGACTAGTTCTGTCTAAAAGTATGTAATTTATTATGGGAAGCCATGTTTGCTGATATCACCTATTCATTCATTCATTCATTCATTCATTCATTCATTCATTCATTCATTCATTCATTCATTCATTCATTCATTCATTCATTCATTCATTCATTCAATGTATTTATATACCGCTTAGTGCAATGCAGCTCTAAGCAGTTTACAACCAAACAAGAACCCATCAACCAACCACACTAACATTGAACTATCAAACATAAAACATGCACAATAATTTAAAAAAAAATCCAAATGATGGCAGGATCAGGGAACACCCAGCTGACTAGGAAGCACAGAGAGAATGTCCTTGAATGCTTCTTGAAACTGGAGGGTCGTCAAGACCTTCCCTAAAAGAAGGGAGGGAGGGGGGCTGGCGTGCTTCTCTCAGGAGCCCCTCTGATGGGATTTTTACATCGGAGTTGGTGGAGACGGGGAGGGTGTCCTCCAGGTGGGGGAATGGAGCTGAAACCACCTCAGAGTAAGCTTTGGTGATCATGGGAATGGTCATCTAAAAGACGGAGAGGCCAGCTCTTTCCCCAGCAAGATGATGGGTTTGGGAGTGGAGCGGACAGGATCAGGGCTTCTAAGGCGACCCCAGGGGCCCCCGTTCACTCACCTCCGGCCGTGTTGATGACGAGCCCGGAAAACAGCAGAGGGACGTTCGTATAGCTAAAGTGGAAGGTCATCTCCTACCCCGGGGGGACAAAAGAATTCGGGTTTCAACGCAGGGCCTTGCGACCTCGCCGTTTTGAAGAAGCTGAGTTTCGGACTGTTCGACATCCCTGGAGAGATGGTGGGAACTCACCTGCCTGTACGAGTGCGTTTGTGAAGTGTGTGCATGTGGGCAGGGAGAACACGGCCAGCGCCTGCACCAGAGATGGGCAAAGGGAAGCCGTCCAGCCCTTTGTGAACTACAATCCCCATCTGCCCCATCCATGTAGGACACATGCCTTCTGCCCGTGGCGAAACTAGCAGCGAAGAGACTTTCCGTGGCTCCCTGGGCCACGGCAGAAGCCTCCGAGCCTTTTCCTGGCCCTTCAAGCGACGGGTGGCGTCCGATACTCACCATCATCCCGCCGCTGTGCATATGTCCCGAGGGCATCGTCGTGTGATGGTGGGCGTGAGGATCGGAGGTGGGGGTGGCCATCCCACTCATGTTATGGCCCACGTGCGCCACGTCGTGATTGTGGCTCATCTTGGCCTTCGGGGTCACGCAGAGGGAGGCTGAGGGACTCTGGAAAGCAAAACAACAAACGGATGACGTTGGAAGAATCCATAGCACCTTTTCCAGTTCTGGAGGTTCCAGGACAATGCTTCAAAGTTGATCAGGAGAAAGATGACCTGAAAGCTAGTCTGGAAACGCGAAGCCTTCTTAAAACCTAACATATTTAGTTAGAACAGGAGAACTAAAGGAAAGAAGATCAAAGAAAAGGAAACAATGGAATCTACGGATTCCGATTGTACGTGACTGATTTTTTTTTTGAACCAACTTTCTACATCGTACAGTATAGTTGTGAAGACCCATTGGGAAGGCCAGCCGTATTCTTACGGATGCTTCCCTTTCCAGCGGTCCAGGATTCGGGGCCTCAGAGACCCTCTTCCGGAAGTTCACCCTGGCTCCTCGGGTGGAAAAATTTTCGGTGGAAAAAACAGGGACCATCATTTCCAGGGACATCCCTCCTATCGCTTCGGAACCACAAATTAAAATAGCGCTTTGAGCTCATCCACTGAGCTTTGGGAAGAACTGCTGCCTAGCTCTGTGGTTTCAGCCTCTTGGGCTTGTGGAGCCCGAGTTTGGGAGTTCAATTCCCCCCACGGGGGCTCCTTGACCAGGGGCTGGACTGGATGATCCCACGAGGTCCCTTCCAGCTCTGATGGTTCTAAGATGGTTGTTTTTAAAGACAGGAGAAATTATGCTATTCCAGGAGCCTCTGTGGTTCTAAGATGATTGTTTTTAAAGATAGGAGAAATTATGCTATTCCAGGAGCCTCTGCTCGCCGTACGGGGCCATGAAAAAGCAGCCAGGAGACGCCCCCCCGCAAACGGTGGGGGCTCAAGGCCTAACCACGCAACAATAAGAAGATCTTCTGCAGAGAAGCTGGTGGGAGGTGGAGGAAAAATAAAGCTGGGTATTTAAAAAAACACACAGCAAACATAACGAGTGATCTGGAATAATCAGCATCGCACGCCGAGGATGAACAAAACAGGACGTTCGCGGTTCAGGCCCGGAATGAATGTCGCGTCAAAAGTGGAAGGAGAGACGATAAAGCAATCTGCTTTTAATTCAATCACGTCAAGAGTTGTGTAGACCTTTTGGGGCTTCGCCGGGGTGCTTCACGGCCCCCACCACCCTTCCGAAATCACATCGGCTCCACCGCCTTGGAGAGGTGGTTCGCTTCCCCACCGCGTCCGTCCACTTAGTGGGAACAGACCTTTCGGTAATCTCATCAGCCCAAACCGATAAGCCAAAGCAGAAAAGGGTCTCTGTTGACCCGCGGCAATTCCAGAACGATCGGTCCTCCTTCCAATATCTTGATAATTGCATTAGGTCAGAGACGGCAGCTGCAAAGGCCAATATCCATTTAATATCCGATGCCTCCAGCAAGTTGAGAGAAAAGACAGACAGCCACCCACAGGGAGGGATAAAACCCCCGCTTTTAAGAGCTCTTTACCACAGAGTAGTTTTTCCCCCCCCCAAGGTATCCTGGATCACGAATGGAGTCTGGCACTGGGGGAAGGCTGAAGGATTCAGAGGCTGTCAAAAGAATAGCCTTTTCAGCTGTGGCTTTATAAGGACGAAATCGTCCTCATAGAACGGCAGAGCTGGAAGGGATCCTGTGCGATCATCCAGTCCAGCCCCTGAGGGTCTAAGAGGCCCCGTGGGGGAAATCGAACTCCCAACCTGCGGATACTGAAAACCGCAGATGATAGCAAACGCTATACATTGCACGGTGTCTCTCTCCCCCTCGTGGACAGTTCTGGCCACTTCCCTTTTAGAAATATTTCTATTTCTAGGATTTTGCTTTTCATGTTTTTAGAACATGGATCAGTGCATCCGTGGATACGGATCCCGCGGATACAGAGGTCCCACTGTAGCCCTTATGGAGGGGAACCAGAATTCTGGTTTGACGTTATCCTTTGTGAACACCACGGATGCTCATACTCCTTCTAAGGCAATTCGCGCCTACAGAGGACTGTAGATGGTCAGAGCCTCAGGACTGACCAAAGGGTTTATTTCTTCATGCAATGTCCTGCGGAACTCCACGCCACAAGAGGTTGTGACGGCTACCATTTGCAGCCACTTTTGAAAGGAAACCACACCCAAAAGAATTTTTTAAAGGGGGAATCGCCTCTCATTTTATCTCTTGGGCTTTTGATCTGCTGAAAACTCGAGACACGGGATTCTAAATGAGGTTGGGTCTTTTGCTTGCTGAGAGATGATGATTTGCGGAGGCCTGCCCTCCCCCTGTCCACCCCACTTCGATCGAGGCGGGGGAAAGCACGGATGATCTTCGAATCCCGTCGCCTTCTATGAGACGACGACAGCCGCCAGACGCACGTCAAAGAGGCAAACGTTTCGCAAACCCAGCAAATTTTTTAATATATAAAATCAGGGCAAATGAGTACCATCAAGGGATCTATTATATCAGTCAAGCGAATAAATGCTAATATACGTGACTGTTGAGGCAGAAAGTCTCCTCTTTCTGAGTCAGAAAAGCCTCGGCGAAGAAAACCGGATAGAGAAAACACACTGGTGAGAAAGAGAGACAGGTGGAAGCAGGTTCAGACATGCTAAAAGGTTTCTTCCAAGGGATCACTTATGAACAGGTGAGAGGTTCCAGGTACGTACATCAAAACACACAACCTTCCTACATCCTCAGAGAGACAATAAATTTTGAAAAAGGCTTGGCTTGGTGGCAGCTTTGCACAAACATCAGTATCATTATTATTAACCTATTATTAACTCAGACTTTGCCACTCAGGACTAGAAATCTTCTTTCAATTCGTTACAGAAGTAAAAAGGCATGAATATATAAAATCGGAAGGAAAGAAAACTTGACCACAACATAAAACCAGCCACAGAGGATCATCCTCAGGACAGGAAAGCTGGCAAGAGCCTCCATATTTCACAGGCCTTATCAAATCAGAGATGCCATATTTTTCGCTCCATAAGACGCACTTTCCATAAGACGCACTAATTTTTTAGGAGAAGAAAACAGGAAAATATAATCTGTTTTCTTCACTCCATAAGACGCACAGACTTTCCACCCCCCTGTTTTGTGGGGGAAAAGTGCATCTTATGGTGCGAAAAATAATTTAGAGAGAAGACTAAAATTCACAGGTGGGGACGTAGGAGAGGGCTTTCTCTATGGCTGCTCCCGGACTGTGGAACTCCTTCCCACTGGAAGCCAGCCTGACCCCATCTTTGCCGTCCTTCTGAGAGCAGAGATGGGCACAAACCGCCGGTTTGTGCAGGTTCGTTTCTTGGCCGAATAGGTATTGGGAGTTTTCCAGTCCTGCCCCCTCCAGCAGCCGCCCACTCAGAGACAGAGGAGGCAGAACTGGAAAACTTTGAATACCTACACAGGTTGGCTCTTCTTCCTGGAGGCCCAGTGGGGGAATCGAACTCCCAACCTCTCGCTCTGCAGCCAGATGCCTTAACCCACTGAGCATCCAGTCACCAGTACTCAGCCAGTAGGTTTTACTTCTACGTAAAAAGGCACTGAATTAAATGGCCCGAATACTCCCACGGATGACACTTGGAGGCGAATTGTCTGAAGTTGTATAACTCAACATGGAACTGATCAGGTTTAGGGTGATTTTTTAAAAAAGAATTCAGGGCCATTTGCTTCCCGAAGTCACATCATTTGTTTAGCTCCACAAGGGCATTTCAGGCCAAACTTTGAGATTTTCACTTTTGTACGCAGCCTTATCAAAGGAGACAAGATTTTAAAAAACGATAAAATCCTTATTTCCAGGAGTGCGGGCTGTCCCATAAATGACCAGCGGAAACAAAACGGGAAGTGGGGGGAAAAATCAACCCCGTAAAGATGAAAAGCTTGCTTATTTTATTCTGGACGTGCAAATCCTTTCTTCCTCTGGGACAAGACTGTTTAAAAACCCGAGCGGGAGCTTCAAAGCTATTCTGCCGCAAGGCACATCTGCCGGCCACTCAAAGGAAAAGTCCAGCTGTGCCGACGGAAAACCATGGGCAAGTCCAACTGGGTCTTCGGCTTCCTGCCAACGTAAAGATATACGGAGAGACATGAAACCACACGCGGCAGGCACTGCAACTTCCAGTGGACAAACCAGCTTTGCGTCAAAACACACCGTAATTAGACCCAAAGCCTGTTAATCAGAACTACCCGTATTTTTCCACGTATAAGACGCCCCCATGTATAAGACTTTTCTAACCCAAAATTAAGAAATCTAAGTGGGGCTTAGCAAGTGTAGGGGGAAAGGGATCAAAGCGCTGCAGGATCGCTTTGATCCCTGCTTTCCCCTCCACTTGTTTTTGTTCTCTCCTCGGCTTACTTCCGTGTATAAGACGACCCTCAATTTTAAGTGTAAAGATTTTATACAAAAGTATAGTCTTATACATGGGAAAATACGGTATGTGCACTTAAGAAGATTACAGTACACGGAAGCTTCCCTTTACACCTTGTTCAAGGGGGTAAAAACCAGAAGGTTTCGTCTTTCCAGCATTGACCAACACAAAACATAATAGGATGGTGTATTGTTCCACTCGGAAATCAAAGAAGCAAAATTAATCGTAACCCTTGGCGCTTTTCAAGGAACGACAAAGCCTCTTTGCCCTGGAGTGGCTCTTGAGTTTCCACTGCATCTGGGGGGCAGGGTGGATTTGATTTGAACAAAACCGATTTTGACGGAGATTTAAATCACCATGTCAATCAAAAGTGTCAGGTGGTTTTTTTGGACCATTTAAATCACAAGAAATTTCAAATGTTTTGATTGAAATCATGATTGAATTTGATTTTTTTAAGCATTGATTTTTTTTTATCCACCCTGCCTCTGGTTTATTCAGCCCCCACATCTGGAGATTTGCTCTGAGATTCTAGGCTGGAGGGGGACGGAAACCCCACCACCACCACCATCGGCCCTTAAAGCGGTCTTCTCACATAGCAAGGTCGTGTAAACAAGACAGATCCGAGGTCTTCCCTGACGGGATCTCAACCAAGCAAGTGGTTCTGCTCAGAGGTAACTCTGATCCGTTCGCTACAGAGAGAGCAATAATGCAAAACACACAAAAATGTGTCCCTTGCTTTGCAAATACACACACACACACACACAATTAAACTTCAAGAAGACGCCGGCTAACATCCAGCCACACAAACACACTCCCTCTTCTCTCTTGGCTAAATCTGAGCTATTCTGCACACATAATTGCCCCGTTCGAAACCCAGAGCCGAGCCAGACACGAATTTTTGGTTTTTTTGCCCAGCTACCAGCCAATCCCATCGCGAAAGCGTCTTACCTGGGGCCAAGTTCTCGTCAAACCCAACTTCGTTAGACTGAAAGGAGACAAGGCGCCCCGGAGTGGTTCCCTCCCTCCCTCCCTCCTGTCCGCTGGGGCAGACACGTTAATGCTCAGCATCATGAGACTCCAATGCGGCTTCCAGTTTATTCAATTTCCTGGTCGCCTCTGCCAGCTTTAACTGCTTCCTTTCTGAAGCGCTCCCACGTCGCAAAGGGCTGGAAACCTCGGCGAGACGGCAAAGGAGTGAGCGAGGGGTTGAATATTGACGGAGAAAGGCACAGAGGACTTTCCCCTTAAGACCCCCCGGAAACCAATTCTTCACACACCACCTTAACAAGGTTTCGTTTACAACTTATACAATCCCCGATTTGGCCCATATTTCTTTCCTATTGTGTTTATGGCCGTGGCTAGGAGGCAAGCACAAGGTGAACTACGAACTGGGGGAGGGGGACCCGCAAAGTGGGCTGGTTTGGGGTTCGATTCATGCAACACTTCCGGCCGAAACGGAACGCCAGACTTGGGGATTCCTTTGGGTTCGGCAAAACGGACGAGAGCCGAGGCCGGCCGCGGTCCAGCCAGACCTCGAAGGGGACGATCGGGTCATCCCTGCTGCTTATGAAGGACGTTCAACATTTTAAAAAAGAGATATATCCAGAAAGCCAAGGCCAGAATCCTGTTGCCCGTTGATCGTAGCCTAAGGGAAACCGGGTTAGCCCTGGGAGGAAACCACTGCTCTTTGAGAAGATGGTCGTTGTGTTTCTCTTGCTCAAACACAATGAGCCTCTTGTTAATTAGCAGCAATTTGCCGTCAAGAGAGAGGTGATTTTCCTTACATAAACATAGATCGGATATAGGATTGGGACCCACATCCACCTTTTAAGCATTATAACACAGCCAACATTTCCAGGAGAAGAGTTTCCACGCGTAGCAACTCTGTGCCTTTCAGAAGGAATCCTGCTTTCATAGCGTTCGAATCTCTGTATGTAGGAGGTTTTGTTTTTTCCCGAAGGAAAACAGGAAGCGAAGCTGGGTTGGCAGCGAGGAACGCTGTCATCTTAGAGCGAGAGCAAACGGTCATGTCACTTTGGACTCTGGAACGGTACCCAGCTTTGTCTTGGCAAAGGAAAGCGAAGAAAAAAAAGATGGGCCAACAGATTAGAACTTTTTACACAAGTTCATCGGGGACAGGGAAATGCAAGGGGTGGAGGAGTGAGTAACAGACAGCTCTGAACACACACCCCCCCGTTCAGAGTAAAAGCAGAAGCCCAAGGAGGACACAGAGGAGTGGGGTGGAAAGATGGGGTTCAACGTGACATTCACATATAAATAAAGACCCTAAGTAAAATGTCTGGGTCGCATTATCCAGGGGACAGGTGGAAAATACTAGAGGGGCTTCTCGGCATCTTTGAAATCATGCCGTGGAATCCTTGCCAATAAATGCAGGTGGTGGATGTATTTAAATAAAAGCTGGGTGGGACTGGAAGTATGCCTTAAAATTAGCACAAAACTAGTTTTTTCAGCAAAGCAAGTTTTTGGGCCTTGATTTAGAGGAGAGAACCGCCCCTCCTGGAGATGTTCCAGGACGGGCGATTTGCCATTTCAAACAAGGAAGATGTGGAAAGGGGATAATGGGGAGCTGGCCTTGAGAACCACTAGAATCATCACGTTGCTCAGTTTACAGGATCTCAAAAGCTGCATTTAACACAGTTGATGGTGTGGCTAGAAGACTCATATTGGCAGTCCCACCTTCCGGCTCCAAGCTTTCTTCTCGTTTAGCTTTTAAATCTTTCAAGCCAAGATATGATCTCATGGCAGGTTTGAGAAGGAGACTGGAAACCAAACCTTTAGGAGGAAAGTCTGAATGAACTGGGCACAATCTCATGGCAGGTTTGAGAAGGAGCATCCTCCCACCCCGATAAGCTCAAGAAGGATGCTGATAAACTGGAGCACATTCAGAAGAGAGCAACCAGGAGGATCGGGGGACTGGAAACCCCAGCCTTTAGGAGGAAAGTCTGAATGAACTGGGCAGGTTTAGATTTTGAGAAGACGGAGGGGAGATAGCACTTTTCAGAGACTTGAGGAGGGGCAGGATCCATCCTCAATCATCCCCAATCAAAGCTGGCTGGAAACCAGCTTTCCACCCGTGCAGCCAGTCCTCAACAGATCAATGTCGTGACAGCGCACCCACAAGCTGCACCCAGATCGACCGAGTCTACGTGGGAGAAAATAATTATTAACTTCTAGGCCGCTGCCATGCCGTTATCTCTCGTCTTCCAAGCCCTTGCAGCCTGGGGAAATAAGACCCATCTGCTTAAGATGTATGATGTTTGGAGGGAAATCAGGGCCCATACAACTTATTTCTGTAATATACTAATTGAATCATCATCATCATCATCATCATCATCATCATCATCATCATCATCATGTGCTGTCAAGTCAGTTCTGGCGACCCTTTTCAGAATTTTCCAGGTATTCAAAAGTGCTTTACCATTTCCTTCCTCTAGGGGGCATCCTTGGGACGGTGCAGCTGGACCAAGGCCACCCAGGTTGGCTCTTCTTCTCCCAGGAGGCCCCGTGGGGGGATTCGAACTCCCAACCTCTAGCTCTACAGACAGAGACCTAACCCACTGAGCTCTCAAGCCAGCTATTTCCAGCTACGAACAGAAGTTAGAATTTTAATCTTAGAACGGCAGAGCGGGAAGGGACCCTTATGGATCATCCAGTCCGGTCCCTGTCTGGGAGGCATCGTGCGGGAATCGAACTCCCAACCTCTGGCTCACAGATAATCCAGTGAGCTGATTCCATGGCTGGGATCCTGTGACACAACTTTACATCCTGCAACAGTGGTGATGTCATCAAGCCATGATCATTCCAGGGTCAACCTCTGGCTCACAGATAATCCAGTGATCTGATTCCATGGCTGGGATCCTGTTGCACAACTTGACATTCCCCAACAGTGATGATGTCATCAAGCCATGATCATTCCAGGGGAATTCAAAGTTTCCTATTCTTGTTCTCCCAGATTCTGTAAATCCAATGGGGGGTGTCCCCGTGATCCTAGGGAAGCCTTGAGAACCGCAGAACAGGAGGAGGAAGTCTTTAATGACTCCAAATTTCTGGCAGCTGAAACTTGTAACCCCTCCAAAATGGCCACAGGAACGATGACATCACAGCGGCAAAATGTAAAGGGGTGCAACAGGATACCAGCCAGTAAAACACAGAATACACTTCAGCTGCCTCTCACCTAAGAGGGCAAAAATATAGAGCCAGCAGTTTAGAGAATCATTGAATAGTTCTAGTTCTGGTGCCACGTAGTGTTAACGGTGGAGCTTGACAAGAGGGCCCCCCGTTTTGAGACGCAAACCTGTTTTTGGAGGCCGTGGCAAGCAGGGAGGCGCCCGTAAAAGTTGGACAGAACTTGATTTGGCAAGGACACAGGACTCCCATTCAGGATCCGGCCCTTTTCTGAAGGCACAATATTGACTTTTTAAGAAAGTCAACAGTGAAAGACAGCTGCGGATGTTAGGTTTTAAATGATCCGTACGATCCTGGCTTCGTACGACAGATCAGTGTCATTTTATGGAGACTCCTTTGAAACCCCCACCATGTTCAAATGCCACTTTCCTCGACCAACTAGCCATCCAAGAGGCCAGCGTCCATGCTATTCCCATTCATACCCGGAATCCCTGGCTTGGATCAACGAGCGGTAGAGATTATCCTATTTTGTACGGATTCACAAAAGTCCTTCCTTAAAGAGATCCCCCCACGGCCGTCACATAACCCACCCGGTAGCCCAAAATATGTGCACAGTACCTTCCGATGTTTGCCCGGGGTGGAAAAAAGCCGCACTTCCAGCGAGAGGGGAGACGGATCCGTGCCTTGGTCCAGCAGCGACCCTTCAGCATTAGTCCTGACGCCTGGCAACAGGACGGTGACGTCCGATCACTGCCAACAAACATTGAAAATTGGACTCGTTACTCGGCAGGCACGCCAGCTCTGAGAGAAACGCAGGAATGGGATTTCACTGGAAGGAGGAAGGCGGCCCTCGTTGTTTCTGGTTTTAATTCCAGGAATCTATTTCTCAGCTCGGCAAACGGGCAGACCCAAAATCAGACAGTTAGGATCCACAATCTGGGGTGCAGAGGGCACCTTTGTGGTTATTTTTTTGGCTGCTGTGGTTGTTGACCATGTCAGTGTCCGGGCACATTCACCTCGTTACTCAGACGGAGAGCTAGTGATGGAGAGAACGCCGAGGATTGATTCCAGCGCAGGAGCTGCACAAAGGGAGCCACCCGAGGCCGCCGAAAATTTGCTAACCAAAAGCAACCAAGCCGCGGCACATTTAAAACACCGCTCGCCCACCCCAGCCGCAAAATGTTGCTAGCTTTGCATTTAGAGATGATGCTCGCCCCAGCCGTTGCCGAACATTCAGGAACCGATAAGCATCGTTTCAAACAATGTGGTCCGTGCATTTAAAGGAACAGATCGCCAAGCCACAAAATCTTAAATCCCGTTGTGCGGATCCGACCACCCTCTTTGGCTCCTTGCATGGATTTACTTACAGGGTGTCCTCCAAGCAAGGTGTTTCTGGAGGAACATGATGCAAACCCTAAATTTACAATCTGTGCAACGTCTTTGGGAGAGAACCACTGACGGGGGAAAATAAAAATACAGTGGTGCCTCGCTAGATGATAAGCATCGTTTCAAACAATGTGGTCCATGCGTTTAAAGGAACAGATCGCCAAGCGACGAAATCTTAAACCCCGTTGTGCGGATCTGACCACCCTCTTTGGCTCCTTGCATGGACTGGGCGTCCTTTAAGCAAGGTGTTTCCGGAGGGGGACGGGATGCAAACCCTATATTGACAACCTGCGCAGCATCTTTCGGAGAGAACCACTGATGGGGGGGGGGAATAAAAATACAGTTGGCTTTCTCAAACCTCCATTCCATTGCAAAGCAGGGACCAAACATTGTCCAGCAAAATTCCCCCATAGGAATCACTGTTTTGCGAATCGCTATAGCTATCGCAAAAAGTCAATGTCTAGCGAAAAAACGGTCATGCGGGGTAACTGTCTAGCAAGGCACCACTGTACAGTTGGCTTTCTCAAACCTCCATTCCAAATCTGCTTTTTGGAAAGACTCTTATTCCAGGGTGTTTTTTTTTCTCTTCAAAGCAAAACACCAAAAAGTTAATCCGCGGAGTGTAAAAAGGGCTTATAAAGTTCTTAATTCCATTGAGAGAACTGCACGGCCAGTGAATTCTCACTACGGAAACCAGAAGCTGGACAGGCGCCCAAGAAGAATGTAAGATACAAAGGGGGGGAGCACCATTAAATCTTGATTTTTTTTCTCTCGGCAACATGAATTGCACGACACAGCTGGAAAAGTCTCAAAGTCTAACCATGAGCAGGATCTTTTTAAAGGCAGCCTAGCTCAGCCTCTGAACCTGTCAGCTTCATTTCTTTACTCCTCCGCAGGAGAGGAACCTTGGAAAACCAGATTCCAGAAATGTTTATCCACTTTTATCTGCTGGCTTATCTAGGAAGTGCCCCAAAATCCTGTCATCATCAAAAGAGGAGCAGATATACCACTGTTCCAAAGTGATGCCAGCCACCCTCCTATGGCGTTTCTAAGCACAGGTGTAAATCTTTGATTTAATCTCGTTTTCAACCCTTCCGTCTTGGAAAAAAAATCAGATTTAATCTCAACGAGAGAAAGAGAGACATGAACTATACCTTGGATGCGTGGACAAACTCGGCAAATGAAATTCTTCCTCGGTTTCTCCGGGACATTACCCAAAACCCCTGAAGCACATTTCAGATTTTCAGAGTCTAAGAGTTAAGAATATATTGGTTTCCCTAATTCAACGGACAGGTTGATCGTATGGATCACTTCCTTCAAGGTACACCAGGGTGGGTTTGATTTAGATCAAACTGGTTTCAATCACAATCTCAACAGAATGGCAGAGTTGGGAGGGACCCCATAAGATCATCCAGTCCAGCCCCGGTCAAGACGGCCCAGGGTGGAATTGAACTCCCAACCTCTGGCTCCAGAGAGACCTAAACCCTTGAGCTTTCCACCCAGCGAAATTTCCACTCCTTGCACGCTCCTACCTTGTCCCTACTTGTTGTCCTCCAGAACTGCTGGACGGTGAGCACCATGGCTAGCAGCCACATGGGAGTTGTAGTCTAAGACATCTGGAGGGCACCAAGCTCTGCCGCTGCATTTTCCTCTTTTCTAACCCCCCCTTTTAACCCAGAGATCCATTCCCTTCTTTCTACTCCAGTTTCTCCTAACTGGGAACCCCTGGGAAAACTCCTGATGGTTTGGGGACTACAAGTCCCATCACCCCCAGCCAATCTGTGGGAAGGATGGACCACAGTGCAAGCAGTTTTACTCTCCGCTGTCGACAGCTGTGGGAGTTCAATGTTTTGACAAAAGGGATAAACAAGTAGGACTTTATTAATAACCACTAATTAAGAAATGTAATTATGTAAATTTTTGGCACCCAGGAAGGTCCAAAACACCTGGCCTGTTACAGGTACCTTGGATTTCGACTTCCCAAATCCACACACCCCCCCGCAGCCAGCTTTGTTATGCTAGCTAGGGGATTCCGGGAGTTGTAGTCCTACGTCTCCACCAGAGCTGTCTGAGCGACGCCAAGGGTTGGGGTCCCACCTTCTTGGAGTTAGCTAGAAAGTGGAGGGGGGTGAGAGATATTCTGGAAGTGGTAGGTGCTCAGCCTCTGGATTACTGGGGATTCTGGGAGTTGTAGTCCCACATCTCTAAGTCAATGAAATACAGTATAGTGGGAGTTGTAGTCACCCCGAGAGCTGGTGGGGGATTCCAGGAATCATAGTCCCCCCTTCTGTGGAGTGGGCGGGGGGATGCTGGGAGTTGTAGTAACCCCCTCCTACGGGGAGTGGGTGGGGGGAATTTTGGGAGCTGGAGTGGGTGGGGGGATTATGGGAGTTGTAGTAACCCCCTTCTACGGGAGTGGGTGGGGGGAATTTTGGGAGGGGGATGCTGGGAATTGTGGTAACCCCCTTCTAAGGAGTGGGTGGGGATGATGGGAGTTGTAGTACACCCTCCCACACGTCGCCAGCTGCTTCCCCCCCCCTCTCCGCTGACCCACCGCTTGTCCGCAGCGAGGGCCAGTCCTGCCTCGCGCCGGGCCGCTCTTCTCCTTCCTCTTCTTCCTCCTCCTCCTCTTCCTCCCTTTCTCCTTCTCCTTCCCTTC